TGCCCAGGCTGACTTCCCAGACTTCTCTCGAGCGCCTGGACTTAAGCGTGGGTGTCTGTGGTTCCTTGGAGCTCTGTGCACTAGGAGAGTTAGAATCCTCTCCTGCCTCTGGAAGGTAGTATGGCCAGGGCCCCTCTCAGACAGAGAGCTGTACGGCTCTCGAGAGACCTAACCCCAGCACACAAGTGACAAGGCCTTCTTTTCCCAGGGCCGCCTCTTACCTACTTCATACAGAGTGGAGTTAAGTGGCATTTTGCAAAAACATGTTACGCATTTTGTTCAAAGACCACAACAGCTTGTGACCCTTTAAATAGCCTTTAAATCCTTTCAGTTTGGTTTGTTACAGGATGATTTTTTTAACGGGTAACATAATGACCATACAAGTATAAAAGAAACATGTGCCTTTTAAAAAGTTATAAATTAGTGAGAAAAGCAGTAAGTTGGGAGAAAACTGGTTCAAAAGAGACCACAATGGACAGACACAATCCAGCCCATCAGGAATGCTGAAGTCAGTCTGATAATAGATGGGAAGTTGGCCGTTCCCAGAAAGCGATTTTTCCATTGTATCTTCACAGAACAAAAGGTAATCTCATTTACAGGAACAGGACTCATTTCCGTTATGATCAGCCCTCTACACACCACCCATACCCATTCTGACTCACAGTGACACTACAGGACAGAGTAGACCTGCCCCATAAGGTTTCCAAGCCTGTAATCTTTTAGGGAAGCAGACTGCCACATCTCTCTCCCAAGGAGCAGCTTGTGGGTTCGAACCACTGATCTTTTGGTTAGCAGTCGAGCACTTAAGACTGTGCCACCAGGGCTCCTTCTACAACTTCACAGAGTTGCAATAGTCAAAGTCAAGGCTAAGTCCTCTACAGAGTGATATAACCTGGAAGAGTCCTCTAGACCACACCCCACCATCCACTGGAAAGAGAGTCAGGAAATCCGTCTGCCGATTTCAAAGACTCTTGCAATTTTTCCCTCCAGACTTAAAAGGGGTGTAATCTATGCTATTTGACCTACCATATTTCTTCAGCTCTATCACGCACGTTTTTCTCACACCTCTGCAGTTATAACTGGTAGTATTTTTTTTCTTGTGTACATAGAATAATAATGCACCTCACAATCAATGGCATCTTAGATGTGAGGAAACACGGTCGTCTCACCAATTGGTTAACTTGAGAAAATGGTTTTGGGGTGGAAAATTCTCAGCTAACATCTTCCTTGGAGAAGACAAGGTCCACAAAAAAAAAACTACCATCCTTATGATCAGCTTTGATCTCTCATGCATGTTTTTATTTAAACATTTTTATTCAATCCAAAGCAGGTCACTGATTATGAAAACTTAAGATGCAAAAGACGTTGTCCTGCGTCAGACAGGAAAGACCGAGCCCACAGGCTAGGGTGGCTTTACGAGCACTGGACTGGAAAAGCAACAACTAAAACAATACCAAACACCACCTGAACCAGTGAGCCATCTCGCCCACTGGTGGCAACAGCTCACGACAGGTTATGAGCTAAGTGGACGTAACTCCAGCCGAATCCTGACAACTGACTAGCTCACTGTGTGAGTTATGCTGCTGTTGTTGGGTGCTGTTGAGTTGATTTTCAACTATAATGACCCCATGTGGCATGCAGAACTGCCCCACAGGGTTTTCTTGGCTATCCTCTTTATGGGAGCAGATCGCGAGGTCTTCCTCCCATGGATCCGACGGGTGGGTTTGAACTGACAATCTTTCGGTTGCACTTAACTGTCTGCGCCACCAGGGCTCCTCTGTGAGTTATCCAGAGTGAGAATTAAGAGTATTTCTCACAGAAATGGCATTATTAGCAAGGATAATGCTTTATGGATACACGTCCTGTTCCCTTGTATAGACGTTCTGCAGGAAACCTCGACGCCTCTGCTCATTACAATAGAGATTTCCCATCGAGATGAACAATTTTCAGGATTTTTTCTCTCAACATTTTTTCACCTAGGTTAGGAGATTTGAGTCTCTCTTAGTCAATGTGAAGAAGTAATTTCCTTTTCTCACTTATTTCTTTAAAGAAACAACAGAAGGAACACGATTATATGATTTCAGTCTCAATCTGAGTATTACAAATAAGACGGCAACTCCATTTAATATTGTTCTTAAGCAGTTAAAAATTCTGTCCCTCAAGCAACATTTGTAGTAACTGTTAAATGAGAAACTATTTTGTTCTGTAAGCCTTCATCTTAAGTGAGAATAACAGCACAATTGGAAGAGCGTAGTCAATGTCACTGAACTGTGCATGTAGAAATTTTTGAAACGGTGTATGTTTGGCTATGTGTATTTTCACCAAAAAAAAAAAGGTTGAGAAGTTAGAGGGTTAATATGTTGTGGGGTTGTTAACCAATGTCATAAAACAACATGTGTACTACTGTTTTGTGAGAAACTATTTGTTCTGTAAGCCTTCACCTGAAGTACAATAAAAATTTAAAAAAAAAAAATTCTGTCTCTCAAAACTTTGGTTTTTCTTCCTAATCACCTTCCACTTCCTACCCTTCGCTCTGTTTCCTATCTTCTTTCTTTCCCCTCTCTACCGTTTCCCCCAGCTGCTTAGTTATAAAAGTGCACACTCCAGCCTCCCTTGCAGCTAGGCTGGCCGTGTGATACTGTGCTGGCCACTGACGCCAAAGAAGAGATGCAGGAAGAATTTCTCGGAATGTTGGGAATGCCGTTAGGGCGTACTCCCTGATTGCATGCACTGCCCTTTCTCCCTTTCTTCTCCCTCCTCCCTCCAGTGCTGGATGGAGGCACAATGGCTGGAGTTGCAACAGCAACCTCGTGATTTTGAGGCAAAGGCTCAGAGAGTCACAGAAACCTTGCCCAGAGCCACTGAACCAATGCCAGCGGCTGCCGAACTCTGCACTTGTGACATGAGGAAAAGCTGTTCCTTTTTTAAAGCTTCTGTTTCAGATAGTCATAAGGGGACACAACCCTATTTATTATAGAACGAAGACAAAAGAAGAAAGAAAGATTGACTACTAACAGAAACAAGATTATCTATAGAAAACCCAAGTGAATTCATAGTCACATTTTTAAAAATAATAACAGGGCTCAGCTACATATGAATCCAATATACTCACTGCCTTCAAGTCGATTACAACTCGTAACAACGCTATAAGACAGAATAGGGTTTCCTAGGCTGTAATCTTTATGGGAGCACACTGCCACATCTTTCTCCCACAGAACGGTTGATGGGTTTGAACCTCTGACCTTTGAGTTATCAGCTGAGCGCTTAACCACTGCACCACCAGGGTTCTTGAATAGAATATACTAAAATCAATTGCATGTCTATATACCAGCAACAGAGTTAGGACATGTAAATTTTCAAAAAAGGTATAATTTACAATAGTAACCTAAAATACAGGGTTTCCAGAAATAAATCTTATAAAAGATACACAAGATCTTTATGGAGAAAATTACAAAATTATTGAAAACAAATAAAAAGTTCTAAATAAATGGAGAGATAAGTTATGTTTATGGGTAGGAAGACCCAACTCCAAACAAATGAATTCTTCCCAAGTTATTCTACTCTCCCCAAATGAATCTATATATAGAATGCAATTCCAATTAAAATTTCAATGGAACTGTGTGTGTGAGAGAGAGAGAGAGAAACTTGTCAAGCTAATTCTAATATTTAGAAAGAAGAGCAAAAAGTCAGGAATAGCCATGAAAATTCTGAAGAACAAATCTGGGGGACTTCACTTCTCACTGTCTCATACTTACGACACAGCTTTGGTAAAGAAGAGCAGGAAGACGCACGTACGCCATGGGAAGAGAAGAGACAGCCAGGAAACACACTCGCTATGAAACCCCGATGGTGGTCTGCACGTCCAGCAGAACGGATGATCAGGAACGTCTCTACCTCATCTCATCCACAAACCAAACAGGTGACCCAACTTGGAAACTTACAACTTTATGGCCATGGAAAAAGGAAAGGTTTTTAAAAATATAGATATTTTTATCTTCAAATTGTTTCTTGAAATAGACTTATATCCCTGTGGGAACCGGACAGTTACATGTATTATAAAAGAAAGACAGGATTTCATGTTTTACTTTTTACAACCTCAGGTGCTGGCCCGCGGGATGATCCCTTTGACATTCAATCAAAGCTATGGGGTTCAATTATCGTCATTCGTCAAGAGACCAGAGCTGACCCCCTCACAGAGCCCGACGGTTTCTTTATCAGCACCCGTCTCGTGGACTGACCACCCCATTCTTCATTCTTTTCAAATCAGACCCTTTTAGTATAATCAGGATCTAACACGGTTAATATGAACTGGAAACCATTTTAAAATTTAAAAAGAGCTAATATTACAAAATCTCAGAGGTTAAACTATAAAAAGAACTTGAACAGCTACTGCTCAGGAAAAATAAATTTCCAGTAGGCAAAATCATGAAGAAGGCTGAGAAAAGAGTTCTTAGATATGACATAAAAAGCACAATTCATAAAAGAAAAAAAGATGAATTGGACTTCACCAAATTAAATCAATTAATTAGATTTCAGAAAATGAAAAGACAAGCCAACAGCTGTGGGAAAATATCTGCAAGTCATATATCTGATAAAGGACTCGTACCTAAAATATACAACTCAACAATAAAAAGATAAATGACCCATCAACATATGGACCAAGGATCTGAAGAGACATTCTTTAAAGAAGATACACAAACGACCAACGCGCACAAAATGATACTCAACATCAGGGCAGTGCAAGTCAAAACCGCAATGAGCCACTATCCCAGCTGCAATCCAAAAGGCCCAGGTGGCATGTGATGTGGAGAAATTAGAACCTCATCCATTGCTGGTGGGGATGAAAAACGGTACAGCTGCTGTAGAAAATGGGCTGGCCATTCCTCAGAAGGTTAAACACAGACTTACCACCTGACCCAGCAATTCCACTCCTGAATATATGCCCAAGAGAAATTTGAAAAACAAGAAAACGAAGTCCCCTTTGGGCAGGCCGTACTTACTGAGGTTCCACTTGAGGCCCGTCGTGGTCACCTGGCTGCACGGCTGCCCGACGGGAATGAGGCCGCACCAGTCACCCTCCATGCCCGTGTCCACGTGCAGTCTGTGCTTGCCCTGCAGGAGAGAAGGCTCGCCATTAGGAAGGGGAAGGGAGGGAGGGTCATCGGTACCACTGCCGATGTGGCTGGACATGGCAGGCACCAGCCCAGGACCTTCCACGTTGTGTCATACTCCTAACAATCAGCTTACAAGGTAGCTTACTGCCAATTCTTACTTCTACATAAGGAGCCCTGGTGGTGCAAACGGTTCAGCACTTGGCTGCTAACCGAAAGATCAGTGGTTCAAACCTACCCAGTGGCTCCGAGGGAGAAAGACTTGGTGATCTGCTTCCATAAAGGTGACAGCCTAGGAAATCCTATGGGAAGTTCTGCTGTGTCACTTGGGGTCAGAACCGACTTGATGTCACACCACATTGTATATCTATCATCTCCATGACAAGGGATGGTCCATGAGAAGAGCCTCTACCTGGAAACAGAGTGTCTGCCCTGAGGAACTACCGTGCTTCTTCCCTTCTGACTATAAAACCACGTTTTTAAAGGAAATATGAACTACAGTTTGAACTTGGTGCCCATCCTTGGGAGACAGGAGAGGCAACACAGGGTGGATGCACACCAAGCAACGGATTCAGTGGACAGAGAGAAACTCGGGGACTGAAGACAATGCTCAGTGAGAGGGTGGGAAACAGGATGAGATGAATTACAGCACCCACTTACATAATAAAAATACATACAAACACAGTAGGACGCTCTTCCTAATAAAAAATGTTCTATAGACGCTAAAACGTTTGCCCATGGGAAGGGTGAGGAGAAGGGGAATGTGGTACAGGGATACATGGAAGCATCAGTCAGCCAATCAATCATCAATCAATCATCTGATCAATGAGGTCCGCTGCCTGGACCAGAGGTGCTGATGTGCTGACGGACTCCATCCCGAGTGGCAGTGAAGTGGCTCAGCAGGACACTGTCGTGGTGGACACCTGACATCACGCATTTGTCAGTACCCACAGGGCTGGCCAGCACAGAGAGCAAACCCAGCGTAAACCATGGGTGTCAGTTAACACAGCGTATCAGTACTAGTTCATCAGCTGGAACAATGTAGCACAGGAACGCGCGATGTTAATAACAGGAGAAACGGTGCGTAGGCAGGAGGGGACATGTGGGGACTCTGTACTTTCTGCAGTTTTCCTGTAAACCGGAAACTCTAAAAATGAAAGCATATTAATGTAAAGAAATGTCTCTCAAGGACCTTGCAGTTTCTCAGTCCTTAAATGTGGCGGGAGGTTTGGCAACACCAGATGAGTGGTGCCACTCAGGGAGGCGGGCAGCTGCGTCTCAGCAGCCCTTACAGCCTTCTTCGGCTCCCCTCCCACCAAAAAAATTCGTTCACAGTTTGTTTAAGCCATGAGCTGCCTTTTTCCTTTGTACAGAATTCTTCCCTAAATTGATTTCCATTGCATAGCTCGCCGTATAGTTTCTTCCTTCCACCCTGCATTACAAAAATCATTCTCTCTGAAGATACGGATGTCAGATATGATACAAATTAACATCCACGGATGCCACACCTAACACAAATGAGCGAATCCCGGAGAGGCAACCTAGCCACCTTGAACTAACGGAGCCGACCAGGGGGCTGGAGAGGGTCTCCTTCCTGAGAACTGCTCTGGCTTCAGCCCAGATGACAGGGAGGCGTGCAGTTTCCCATGTAGGGGGACCCAGGTCCGAGTTTCCTGCGGAAAGGAATGTACTCCTGGGGTCCCCCGTCATAAGTAGGGCACACCTGCACAGACCTCCCCACCTGTCTCTGGAATCAGTGTTCCTGCTAACGAGACCTGTTTTTAGAGCGTGGCTTCATTACTTATCAAAGTAGGGCTGCAACGTTATCGGGCTGTCTGATTTTCCGTGGGTTACACTTAATTCCTAAGGGGCCCTGATAGCACAAGGCTTAAGTGCCCGGCCGAAAGGTTGGTGGTTTGAACCCACCCAGTGGCTCTGTGGGAAAAAGGCCTGGCGATCTGCTTCTGTTAAGATCACAGCCAAGAAAACCCAATGGAGCAGTTCTACTCTGGCACACATGGGGTTGCCAGGAGTCAGAATCAGCTCGACGGCACACAACGCCACCACGCTTAATTCCTGTCTTTTCACTGAAGACTTTCTTCTTTCAGCTTGCTTTTGGTCTCCTTGGTGGGCTGGCAGTGGCCAGCTGAATATGTTAAACTGTTTGGTGTATTTAATGTATTCGATGAGTACATTAAAATATCTAGTCAGGATGATGACGAAAATAAGGAATCATTTTTCAACTTGTGGATATTAATTCCTCCGAGGAAGACCCTTCAACTTGGACCATACAGAAATGCAAAGGAAACCGCATGCACACAGGCTAAGTTTTACTACCCCAGGGAGAGAGCCGCTGCTATAAAATCCGCTGATTTAAACGACACAATAGTGCGCTTTCAATTCCAGCCCTGCTATGTATTCATCACCTTCCTCATTATTTTAAGAATCAACCGACCCTGAAATTTTCAGTATGGGAATAAACTAGTTTGTGGACTTGAGAAGTCAGAGATAGGTCTTAGCCTACGATCAATCAACATTTTCTTCTCTCGTTCCAAAAAAGGGGCTTAGCCAAATGCGAACGGTTTTTGTGCTTACAGATATGCAAATCTAGCTTTGTATGGTGAAGGAGAGCGACGTCATGCTTACATCCTATACACCAAGCCTCTGTGACATCTTAAAAATGAACAACCACGTAAAAAGATTTCTGTTCAGTCCCGTTTCTCAATTCATACGTGCACGAGTGTGTATGAGCTGTGACACAGGCAGACGTACAACCTCCCCGAGGGTGGATGTCATTACTGCAAGCCAGAGGCATGCGGACTAGTCATTGACTTCCATCCACCCTCGGTTCCTGCTCTTCCCCATCCTTCAAGTCAAAGGCAGGTGTACAGGGCAAAGAAGGTAACACAGATCAATCACAGTCTGCCCTTCCAATAGTGGTTATTTAACAAATCTAAGAACCTTGATAAAGTGTGAAATTGTCCTTCAGTGAAGGGTAGCCGCAATGCGGATTGAAAATCTCAGGTAACATTTAAAAGTCAGCACCTGCCTGGAAGTCATACCCACGGTTATGCCAAGGCAGCACACAGGGTCATGTCTAGACTGCAGAGCCGAGCTGGCCAAACAGCACACTGAAAGAGGGCCTCAGCGGGGGCCGGAACTCACTGCCTCATGTGTGACATCTCCACTTGGCAAACGGCTATGAAATGGCCGAGAGAGAAGACGGAGCTCGCCCGAGATTGTGGTTTTGCCAAAATAACAAACATGGTTGCAATTCGAAAGACAGTGTTCGAATTTCATTGACATCACAGTCTTAGTCATCTAGTGCTGCTATAACAGAAACACCACCACAAGTAGATGGCTTTAACGAACAGAAATTTATTTTCTCACAGCTTAGGAGGCTAGAGTCCAATTCAGGGTGCTGGCTCTAGGGGAAGGCTTTCTCTCTCTGTTGGCTCTGGAGGAAGGTCCTTGTTTTTTTGATCTTCACGTGGCTCGGCATCTCTCTTCACCATCTCTGCTTGCTCGCTTGTTTAATCTCTTTTATATCTCAAAAGAGATTGACTCAAAATAGACCCTACACTAATCCTGCCTCATTAATATAACAAAGACAGTGCATTCCCAAATAGGATTATAACTACAGTCATACAGGTTACAAATTACAACATGTATTTTTTGGGGACACAATTCCATCCGTAACAATCACTAAATCCTTAAATTCAATACATGGGCCAAGATTTATGCTAAAACAGTGTTATGGATGGAATTGCATCTCCCAAAGTATGTGCTGGAATCCTAACCTCTGGGTGTTGCAAAGGGTTAAGTGCTCAACTACTAACCAAAAGGTTGGTGGTTGAAACCCACCCAGAGGTACCTTGGAAGAAAGGCCTGGTGATCTGTTTCTGAAAGATGACGGCCTTGAAAACCCTATGGAGCAGTTCTACTCTGCAGCACACGGGTTGCCAGGAGTCAGAATCAACTCTCAAGGCAACGGGTGAAAAAAAGAAAAAGACAGACCTGTGGATGTAATGCGATTTGGGAATAGGGCCAGATCAGTGTAGGGTATGCCCTAACCTGACCACCTGTGAGCTATACAAAGAGATTAGGCACAGAGGCAAGGAAGCACAGATTGGGGAAGAGAGATGCCACGTGAAGACAGCCAAGGACAGAGGAATAGAAACTGAAAGAGACATAGATCTTTCCCTAGAGCCGGCAGACAGAGCCTGACCTAGAGCTGGTGCCCTGAATTAGGACTTCTGGCCTCCTGAACTCTGAGAAAATACATCCATCTCCTTTAAAGCCACCCACTTGTGGTACGTCTGTTGTCGCAACACTAGAAACAAAGACTGAGAGCATAGTGTGGGCATCACAGACAAGTCAACAAGATTGTTCACGACACAGCCGAACACAGGAAGGACGCAGATACACCTTCTACTCAGTGTACTAGAGTCCCGGAGCAGGCGCTGGCGCCGGTGTGAGGCGGACATCACTTATCCAATCCCTGCGAGTGCTGCGCGTGCACCCCTACATGCTGCTGCACCTACTGCACACCTGCGCCTACTGCACACCTGCGCCTACTGCACACCTGTGCTGCACACCTGCGTCTACTGCACACCTGTGCCTACTGCGCACCTGCGCCTACTGCGCACCTGCGCTGCACACCTGTGCTGCACACCTGCACCTACTGCGCACCTGCACCTACTGCAGTTATTGCACACCTGTACATACTACACACCTGCACTTACTGCACACTGCACACCTGCGCCTACTGCACACCTGTACCTACTGCACACCTGCGCTTACTGCACTTATTGCACACCTGTACATACTGCACACCTGCACCTACTGCGCTTACTGCACACTTGTACATACTGCACACCTGCGCTTACTGCACACCTGCGCCTACTGCGCACCTGGGCCTACTGCACACCTGTGCCTACTGCACTTATTGCACACCTGTACATACTGCACACCTGCAGCTGCACTTACTACACACTACAA